CTTCTCCTCCGTTCTCCTCTCAGGATCTTGGGCACGCACGCACACGCGCCAGTGTGAGTTTAAGCCACTGGGTCCGGGCCTCAAACCACAGTTGACTACATGGGAGTCCAGCGACATAGCCATTATGCCAACTGCTGGTCCCAAAACATAGCTTCTTTAGAAGCACAGCAAATGGCTGGCCCTTTAGTCTAGTAGTCAAGAGAGCTGGATTCCACATGGTAGACCAAGGCTTGGTGGCTTGAAAAAAGCGCCTTTGAGATTGCAGATGGCATAATGGTTACATTGCTGAACTCCTACATAGTTGACCGCCGTTTGAGTCCCGGACCTGGTAGCTTGAAACTCATGCCAGGTGCATGTGTGTGCATGCCCCAAATCCTCAGAAGAGAATGGAGGAGAAGGGACTGCAGTGTGACTATCCCCCCAAGGGGGTGATTTCTCACTTTCTGTCTCTCTGTGTCTCTCCAGCGAGCTCACATACCCTGTATCAAAAATCTGTCTCTTAAAAAAAAAAAAAAAGTAGAGCGGGATTGTGACGTGACCACAACCCGTGGAGGAGGGGGTGCGCTCTCCCTCTCCCTCTATCTGTCTCTTTCTGGTGAGAACACGCCTCCTTTAGCAAAGAAAAAAAAAAGGGGGGGAGAAAAAAAAAGTGCAACAAGTAAAATAAAAGCAGAGTAGAAAGGAAATTTACCTTGGGCAGGTTGCCAAGAGTACTCCATGCATCCCATTTGGCCTTATTGACCAGGTCAAACACACCTGGTTTAGGCACATTGCAAGGTCCCTCAGTAGCCTGCAAAAAGGAAAAGGGCGATCGGTACTCAAATGCCCACGTAAACATAAAATCCATAGCTCCAGTGAGTGCCTCCCCCAAATCCTTCCATAGCCTACTAAAAGGGGTCTGAACTTTCCCCTAGTCCCCTTTTCGATGCTAATGTTAAACATACAGAAACAGCTGAAAATACATAAACAGCAGAAAAAGAGAAAAATATAATATTAGATATTGGTCTCTAAAGTGAGTTATTAACTACACATGAAACAAATCCAAGATAATGGTTCTGGGAAAGTGCTTTCTAAAAACAACTTACTAGTTTTACAAAGGGACTTCAAAAAGTCATGGAAAGATGGATTCAAAGTATTACTTTTGGGGCCAGTCTTTTTTTTTTTTTTTTGGAGAGGTTTCTGCTATAGGGCGCGTGCGCTCACCAGACAGACAGAGAGACAGAGACAGAAAGCGAGAAATCACCCCCAGTGGGGATGGTCACGCCGCAATCCCTTCTCCTCTCGGGATCTTGGGCATGCACACACACGCGCCTGGCGTGAGTTTTAAGCCACCGGGTCCGGGACGCGAACCGCGGTCAACTACGTGGGAGTCCAGCGACATAGCCATTACGCTAACTGCTGGTTCCCTGGGGCCAGTCTTATAGCCTAGTGGTTAAGAGAAGCTGGATCCCACATGGCTACTGAGGCTCGGGTCCTGCCCCAGCAGTTTGGAAAAACACCAGGTGTTTGTATAAGTGTGCTCCAAACCATGACAGGATGGAGAAATGGAGGAGCAGGGTTAGTGACGTGACCACGCCCCATGGCGGGGGGTGTTTTCTCTCTCTCTGTGTCTCCAGCTGGTAAGCATATGTGCGCCTGACAATTGAAAAACACAATCAAAGCATAAGTTAATTTGGGTGCCAAAAACATTTGAAATCCATCCATAGTTTTTTCGTAATACTTTTTCTTGTTTGTTTGTTTCTGCTACAGGGCATATTCACACACCAGAGACAAGACAGGGCAGGAGGGGGGCAGTGAGAAATCTCCTCTGGGGAGATGGCCACACCACGATTCCTTATGGTTCTCCTCTAGGGATTCTGGGGCATGCATACACACGTGCATGGCATGTTTCCCAGTAAATGGGTCCAGTACTGGAAACATGAAGTTAGCTATGTGGGATCCAGCCGCCTAAATCACCATGCCACAACTGGTCCCATAGCACTAATTTTCTTTTCTTTTCTAAAAAAAGAATTATTGGGACCAGCAGATGGCATAATGGCTATGTTATTGGACTCCTATGTGGTCAACTGCGGTTCGAGTCCCAGACCCACTGGCTTAAACTCATGCCGGGTGTGTGTGCGTGCGTGCCCAAGATCCTGAGAGGAGAATGGAGAAGGGATTGCAGCGTGGCCGTTCCCCCTGGGGGGGTGATTTCTTGCTTTCTGTCTCTCTGTCTCTCTGGCAAGTGCACACGCCCTATAGCAAAATCCTCTAAAGCATTATTTATTTTTATTTATTATCATTACTATGTTTAAATATGACCAGAGTGAGAGAGAAAGCAAGCTTGCCACATGTGGGACTCAAACCACAGTCAGTCATGTGGGAGTCCAGCGATTTAACCACCATGCCACCTGCTGGCTCCAACACTCATTTTCTATAAACTTTCTGAAAACCTCTCATATACTGATGATCACACTTTTCATATACAATCAAAATATTCAAGCAAACAATCTTCAAAAGGAACTAGTGACCAACCACTTGGAAATATACAGTATAGTTTCGAATCCTATCAAAAGGTACCAAAAATATCACAAATTTAGTGGTGAACTTCTAGCAATTTGGCAACAGAATTGTAGCTTATGAGGGGGTAAGGATGTGTGTTGTCAGAGCCCATGCCCACAGGAAATTTAAACAAAGGAATCCAAGTAAAAAGCAAAAAGCCACCAAATTTTATTTGCTTGAAGGTAGGCAGACTGACCATCTTGAATAAAATATCCCACTCAGCTACTTTTCAGAAATGGCCTTTAAAACATCTTTTAAATAATAATAATAATAATAAAATACAGTTAGCTAAAAGAGTTAAGAAAGAGGTCTCGAAAAACAAAGCCAGTAAGCGTCTACAGCTTTCTACGAACAAAGAGATAAAGCTACCCTGCAAGTTAGCTGCCAATTGAGAAGTTACAGGGAACACAGTCCACAAAATACAGGCTTGCCCTCATCATCTGACTGCTCTTTTTTCTAACACCAGTAGCAAGACCACTCTCAGGTTTAGTAATTCACTAGGAAGATTCACAAAACTCATAGCAAGTGGTTATACTCACAATGACGGTTCATCGCATGGGAAGGATACAGATTAAAGTCAGCCAAGGGAAAATGCACGCGCAATCCAGTGAGAGGCTGTGGCAATGTGGTCTCCAATGTGGTTGTCCTTTCCCCGTGGAATCAGGACTGACTAACTTCCCAGAATCACCATGTGACAATCTGGATGGAGTACTGCCAACCAAGACGCTTGCTCTAGCCTCAGTATCCAGAGTATTTATTGAGGCTCTATCAAGCATGATTGTCTAACCTAAAGTCTCCACCCCAGGTCACGCCATTACTGCTCTAGGCACATATTATGAGCAGGGAGTTCCAACCTGTCGACATAGAGGACATCTGACACATCAATCACAGCTTATCAGAGGGTAAAATAAGACCCTGGGGCCAGCGAATGACACGGTGGTTGGGGCGCTAGACTTCCGCATGGCCAACCGAGGTTCGAGTCCTGGACCTGGTGGCTTGCTTTCTCAATTTCTCTCTCTGTCTCTGTCTCTCTCTGAGTACACATGTCCTACAGCAAAATTAAAAAAATAATAATAAAAGATAAAAGTAAATATTTCTAAAAAAAAAAAAAAAAAAAACCCCTTTGGGAAAACTCTTTCCTCCAGACTAACTTCCCAGAATCACCATGTGACAATCTGGATGGAGTACTGCCAACCAAGACGCTTGCTCTAGCCTCAGTATCCAGAGTATTTATTGAGGCTCTATCAAGCATGATTGTCTAACCTAAAGTCTCCACCCCAGGTCACGCCATTACTGCTCTAGGCACATATTATGAGCAGGGAGTTCCAACCTGTCGACATAGAGGACATCTGACACATCAATCACAGCTTATCAGAGGGTAAAATAAGACCCTGGGGCCAGCGAATGACACGGTGGTTGGGGCGCTAGACTTCCGCATGGCCAACCGAGGTTCGAGTCCTGGACCTGGTGGCTTGCTTTCTCAATTTCTCTCTCTGTCTCTGTCTCTCTCTGAGTACACATGTCCTACAGCAAAATTAAAAAAATAATAATAAAAGATAAAAGTAAATATTTCTAAAAAAAAAAAAAAAAAAAGACCATTTGGGAGAACTCCTTCCTCCAAAGGAGCTCCCACAGGAAGGGGAGGCTGATCTCATTTTTCTTCTTTATTCCCTAAGTTTTCTTAAAGAAAAATATTAACAGAAGGTTGTTATCGTCCCTCCTGTCATTTCAGATACATACACAAAAATTCAACCAGCTGTGTGGTCCATACCCTAATTCCCACTGGGGCAGTAAATAACAGGGCAGGTCATTCTATGTGGATGATCATAATTTCAAAGTCCACACTGGGGATATGTAATGGGGCAATCAAATTCCTCAGGTTCCTTCCCTGAGGAAGAGTATGCAAATGCAGATGGAAGCCTTAGAAGTTGAACAAAGGAACCAGCTACAATCACAAATTTTTAATTTTTTTGTTAGTTTCCCAGTATTTCAGCGGGACTGAATTAGAGGACACCCAGGAGGTGTCCACTGTGCTGCCACCTTGCTTGCTTGGTGTCACCTCCATCTGACTGCTTGCTTAATGGTGTAGGGGAAAAATTCCCACACATGTGGTCACAGGAGTCTTCTCTGTTGATTGGGAGAGTTTCTTATTCCTTATTCTCACACACCTCTACATATTCAGTACGCACTCTAAAAATGATCAACCTTTTCTTACAAAACCATGACACCATGACCTTTATCATCTCATACTCGGTCCATATTCAAAACTCCTCAGTCATTTCAAAATTTCTTTCCAATGGCTATTTCACTCAGGAGCCAAAAACGGTTTACACATTTGGATGGTATATATCTCTTTTTTTTTTGGAGAGGTTTTTGCTATAGGGCGCATACGCTTGCCAGACAGACAGAGAGAGACAGAAAGCGAGAAATCACCCCCCAGGGGGGATGGCCACACCACAATCCCTTCTCCTTCATTCTCCTCTTGGGATCTTGGGCACGCACGCACAAGCGCCCGGTGTGAGTTTTAAGCCACCGGGTCCAGGACTTGAACTGCAGTCGACTACATGGGAGTCCAGCAACATAGCCATTACGCTAAGTGCTGGTCCCGATGGTATATATCTCTTAAGTCTCTTTTAGCATAGAGTGAGTCTGAGAGGTTATCCTGTGCTTTACTAGTCTCTTGAGGTCTAATGCCTAAAAAAAATACACAGCACACTCAAGCTACATTTTAGGAAACACACAGCAAATCTATTTCAGGAGTTATTTGCTCCAAATGTCTCTAACTAATGTCAACACGGAGGTATTTACCTGCTTATATAGTGCGTAGAGTTTGAGCTTCACTTCATTTCCTGGGTCCTTCTTCAAGAGTTTCACCTGATTCATTGCATCCTCAAAGTCCTTCTGACTGGCTCTCATGGCTCTGGTCTCGTGCAGCTGAAATACTGGGAAGCCAACGATCTGCGGAGGGCTACAGAGGGATGGACAAACTGACTCGTTCCCAGCCGTCTGGTTTTACAGCCTGCTCTCTCTCTGTTCCCAACCTTTGCATACCCAAATGCCATGTTTCTCTCTCAATATTGTCTTTAGACTTACCTGGCGTGTAGGCTGCAGAGTCATAGATTCCTAGATATAAAATCAATATTGAGGCTAACCGTAGTGATTTTACATCAAGTAAATGGAAGCTATAAACCTGCAAGGTATTTGCAAGCCATTAAAATGAAATAAAGATAAATGCAGCCTGGCCTGGAATGGCTGTGTGCATTTGCTGCAGGCAGGAGGTAAATGAGAGGCATGCAAGATAGAGGTGATTAGGAGCCCCAGCGGGCCAAAGGGCCTAGAATGGAGTCCTGTGTCCTAAGGTGCTAAAACAGCTGCTGCACTTACTGATCAACACAGTGCATCAGTTCTTGCCTCTCTGCTAACAAAACATGTGTCCCTACATACAGTTGGAAGGCAGGAACAATAAATGAAGATACACGATGTGGTAAGATGACAGATAAGCAGTTGTTGGCAACCCAGACAGGCATAGCCTTCTCAGCAAGGTGAGGAAGGTGGGGCTCAGCAGGTTTATTTTGGCCTCATACAGGCTACTTAACCACCCAGCCAGGAGCAGAACTGAAACAGCATGTACAGCCAAAGGAAAAGCACAATTGGCAGTTGACGTAATAGCTATGTCGCTGGACTCCCATGTAATCGACTGCAGGTCAAGTCCCGGACCTGGTGGTTTACACTCACGCCGGCTGTGTGTGCATGCATGCCCGAGATCCCGAGAGGAGAATGGAGAAGGGATTGCTGCGTAGCCATTCCCCCTGGGGGGTGATTTCTCGCTTTCTGTCTCTGTCTTTCTGGCGAGCACACGCGCTCTATAGCAAAAACCTCTCCAAAAAAAAAGAAAAAAGAAATAAATCCAAAGGTAACAAATGCACCACCTTTCCTGCAATTCTGTAACTTGCAAATGGCACAATGGACTCCAGGGTCAAACCATGGACTATTAGCGTGTAATTCAATAAAATCAGTCTATGATACATTTTCTATGAAATACCTTTTTTTAAAAAAAATCTCAAAAAAGGAAAAAAAAACCCCCAAAACTGTGCATCCTACATCAGTTTGTCACTGGACCAATTCCAAGTAGAAAATGAAAGGAACATTTAAAATATCGACAGAAGGCCTAAGTGTGCAAGTTCCCACAAAACGTGGTGTAACATGATTTAAAAAACAGTGTGGGGTTTGAAAACAAACTGCAAGAGCATGCCCATTTAAGAAAATACACAAAGTCAAGAAGGATCAGTCAACACGTCTCCACTTTCAGGCAACACCCAAAGCCCAGGTTTTGTTCCCTAAATGCACAGATTGGTTGGGGGTTGTTCCAGAGTTCTTAGCCCGTATTCCGCCATTTCCCCTCGCACTATAGCTGTGATGAGAAAGTTTATCAAGAACAGAGATTGCAATACAAAACATGAAGTGAAATAAAACCGGAGCTAGGGAACTAGGAGGAAGAAGAGGCGGCTGACCAGCCTGCTTACCGGTTGCGGCTGATCTCTGATGGCTACGTGGCTCACTGCCACAAGGTTTTATATTCTCAAGAAAACACCGAGTTTGCAGCCTTAGGCTGGTCAGCACGTGCTTCGTGGATTACCATCGCTCCAATAAGAGCCTGAGCTGAGGGACTTTAGTGTCTGCTCCTGTCCATTCCCCACCTTCATAAGCCCCTCCCCTGTGAGCTCGGTCCATTGTCAACTTCTTAGAACAAGTAACACTAACTGTATCATTTCCATCTGACCGGTGCTGCCTGTGGATCTGACTGCATGCCCCAGAGTCGATCCTTACCCGATGCTAGCTTTGAGACACCAATAAACTCCCTTTTTCCTTAGAACTTTCGCTTTACAGTTGTTCTTTCTGGCTGGACACAGCACACGTTTTTCCGGAAAGCAAATACTTTAATTGCACAGTGGTGACAACGGCCAGTGTTTCCACGGCGTCCAGCACACAGGCAAAGCTGCTTAAATGTTCTAGCTCACTTTGGTCCGGACCCTCTACACCCTAGGAGCAGTGTAGACGCGTAGGCCCAGGAAGCACCAGGCGCTGCGGGGGCCGCACGGCCTCAGAGTCGGGTCCCTGCGGCGAGTGCGGGGCGCAGGATGCGGGCGGCAGCGTCGGGGACCGGCGCTCCAAGCATGGGCACCGGGGAGCGCCAAGCCCTGGCCTCCCAGCTCCAGCAGGACCCGTCACGCCGCAGCGAAAGCGCGCGCTTGCACGAAGGTCACTCTTCGGCGCCCCGGCTAAAGCAATACCGGCTGCTGCCCGAACCAGATAACAGGCTGGCTCCCTGGGATGGCGACCCGCTCAAGGACGTTCGCGTCCTGAGGGCGGCGTCAGGCCAGGCCCGGCCAAGGGCGCCATGCTTACCGCGGACACCAGCGCCGCACCAATCTCCCCGCCATCTTCGTCGTAGCCAGCGGGGTGCGCGCTGGTGTCCCGGCTTAAGGTCGCGCCCGAGGCCCAGGAGAGGGCGGGGCAGGGCTCGGGGCGGAAGGGGGCGGAGCTGCGGTGTTGGGGCGGGGCCTGGATGGTGAGTTGGAGAGCGGGGCGGCGACCAGAATGCACGATAGAGTGGGCGGAGCCGAGGCTGGGGTGTGGGTGGGGCAAAAGGGGGGGGCCGAGATACGGGGGAGGGGCCGAGATGCGGGGGCGGGGCCTGGACTCCGCCGAGCAGACCACGTCCAGTGTCTGGCAGAGGATCCGCGCGGGAGCTCAGGCTCCTTGAGTGGCGCGGGGCGCGTGCTGGATCGCACACCCGACACACTGTGAGCTGGAGGCCTGGGCTGCTCCCACTGGTTCTCGTAGCGTCCCGCGATGCTGAGGAAAGCACCCAGTGCTGCTAACGCTGCAGCTGCCATAGCACTGGGCGCCCAGACCACGTCCAGTGTCTGGCAGAGGATCCGCGCGGGAGCTCAGGCTCCTTGAGTGGCGCGGGGCGCGTGCTGGATCGCACACCCGACACACTGTGAGCTGGAGGCCTGGGCTGCTCCCACTGGTTCTCGTAGCGTCCCGCGATGCTGAGGAAAGCACCCAGTGCTGCTAACGCTGCAGCTGCCATAGCACTGGGCGCCCCGCGCGGGGTCCTGTAGAGCCCGGCGAGGAGGGGTCGCTTCGCCCCGAGGCCCAGCCATGAGACCAGAGGTAGGGTTCATAGTTGAGGGCGTGTGATGAAAAGTGCCCACGTTACCCTAAAAGGCGAGAGGATTACCGACCAGGGAGCACGCCTGAGGATTAGAAATAGTCTGGAATGTTTTAAACCAACGTTTTCGTGGCAGTAACCGTGTGTGGGTATTTTCGAGGTCTGCCAAAGCATTTTTGAAGTGTTTTCTTTGGGGGAAGAATTCTCAAGAGTTGAAAGGGTCCATGTCTGGAGGGTCCCTTACCCAGTTTCCAGAAAACCTAAATAAATAAATAAATAAAAATTAAAAAGTACCAGGCCAGCTAGATTGTGTAATGTAAGGTGTCTGGATCCCACATGGCTGCCTGTGCTGTTGAAGCCCCGGTGGCTTAGGGAATAAAATGTATTCATGTCCAAAATCCTAAGAAGAGAATGGCTGAGAAGGTTATCCTTCTTGAGGGAAGACGCTTTCTCATTTTCCCTCGTTCTCTCTTTCTCTATCTCTCTGGGGAGCACATGTCCCCTATTTTTTTTAAAAGCATTATTTAATTTTATTTATTGTTATTATTTTTTAATTTGACCAGCAAGAAAGACCAAGTGAGAAAGCAAGCCTCAACGTCTGGGACTCGAACTGTGGTCCACCATGTGGGCATCCAGCACCTTTAACTACCACACCACCTGCCGGCCCTGTGCCCTATTTTTAAATTTTTTTTTTTTTAAATTGCTTCTAGTACCAGCAGTTGTTGTAATGGCTATGCCGCTGGACTCCCATGTAGTCCTCTGAGGTTCATGTCCCAGATCCGGTGGCATAAACTCACGCCGGGCGTGAGTGCGTGCGTGCCCAAGGTTCCAAGAGGAGAATGGAGAAGGGATTGCGGTGTGGCCATACCCCCTGGGAATGTCTCTCTGTCTTTCTGGCACATGCATGTGCCCTATAGCAAAAACTTCTCAAAAAAAAAAAATCACTTCTGTAAACTGGGTGTTCAAAGTGTAGTTTCCAAACATGCCTGGGTATTTTAGGTTAATGTAGCTGACACTCGTGGACTACCTAAGGCAAGCCAGGAAGGTTATAATTCCACAATCCAGTAGGAGAGATGATCCTGTCCTTGTGCTGCTATGAAATGGAGATCCAGAACAATTCAATGGGTGACTTACCCAAAGTCCTAAGCCTTGCAAGTGGACAGAAATCCACTCTTAAGTAACATTCTTCTTGGCAATGGCCCTACTATTACAACATGCATATCCTGGCAATAGTGAAGGTAGGGGCAGGAGTCATGGCCAGGTGGAGTAATTTGGGCTTATCTCAAAACCTTTCTTCACATCCTACAAAGTGATAGCTGATAGTCTGCTGAGTCACTAAAGACCTTGACCCTCCCAGGTAATGGAAACGCAGTAAACAGGAATTGCAGATGCTGAAAGACTCACTGGTCTTCAGAAGATGAAATATATATATATATGTGTATATATATATATAGTGAGCACATGCACCCTATAGCAAAAACCTCTCAAAAAAAAGAAAGAAAGAAAAAAGAAGACCGTAAAGAGAAGCTTAGCAGGTGACAGAGAGACAGAGAGACAGAAAGTGAGAAATCCCCCCCCCAGGGGGAGTAGCCATGC